ATTATCACTTGTTAATTTAATTCTCAAATTATGAACTGTAGCAGTGAAAAACTTTGGTTACAGTGAGAAATTTAATTATGCATTTCACACCAAATAAACATGTTTCAATTTATCTGAAGAAATCTGGCAGCAAGGTGCAATTCAGAAAGATGCAGTTCACAAGAAAGGGCAGGCTGTGAATTCTACTAAAGACAAAGAAACCTGAACACAAAGAGCAGGGCTCAGAGCTCATCATTTTCAGTAGGATTTAAAGTACGTTTAATTTTCCTTGGGAGCGGGTCCTCAAAGCCCAACTGTATGCATGTGTACTAGAAACCTCTTTTCACCCAAAGAGGCTTACTGCCATGTAATTATATGCAGCAGACAACTGGACTGTGCTACTAGTCATCTAACTGCTTCTGTAGAAAACACTGTTCAAGGGACAGAAAAAAAGGCTTGTTAAAAAGAACTGCTTCCCAATGTTATCACCCACTTGAGTGGCCTTGGAAATAGCTACTACCCCCCCCCAGCTGAAAATACTATTGCCAAATGCCATAACGGTAAAAAATTGGGGGGCGGGGGAGAAGAAGAATCATCCAGGACTTCCTCCTGGGTGAGTATGTCAACTGTTTGCATCAGGGAAACCTAGTTGGATGAGATGGGGGAACAGGAGGACTTTCCCCAGTTAGGTTTTCCATGCAGTAGTCAGCAGGACTGGGAATGATGGTTGTGCTAGTGGCACAATAGAACAGAGTTGCAGTTGTCTACCATAATTGTATTTTCCTGACCAGGTTGTTGTTGCAGTTGTATGCTTTCAAGTTGTCTCCCTCTTATGACAACCATAAGGCAAAGCCTATCATAGTTTTTTCTTGGCAAGATTTGTTCAGGAGGGTTGTCTTTGCCTTCCTCTCAGATTGAACATTGGGTTACAACTTCTCCAAGGTCACCCACTGTTTCCATGGCCAAGTAAGAATTCGAACGATGGTCTCCAGAGTTGTAACCCAATGCTTAACCAAGGCAGCACACCTGAAAAGGTATCATTTCACAAACTACTCACTAGTAGTTAGTCTAGACAAATGGCTCCCAAACTTTGGTTCTCCAGATGTTTTGAACTTTTGACCCCCAAAATTTCTGACTGTTGGCTATGCTGACTAGGACTGCTGGGAGTTGAAGTCCAAAACACTTGGAGGACTAGAGTTTGGGAATCACTGGTCTAGAGCCTCTGCAGGAGTAGAGGACTGATTAAGACACAGTGCTGATGGATCAAAATGGTTTTCTGACAACTCTAAGGGATTTTCCTGTCATGTCAATGGGAAATTATGTCAAAGCCTAGTTTGACCTCTAACAAAAGAAAATGGCCTACAGAGCTGACAAAGCTGCTCCCAAGATTCCTGTCTTGCTGGCTGGAGCTAAAGGAGCTTGCTGGTTTTCATGAGAGCTGCAGGCAATGACACAAGCGGAAGATAAGTGAAGCAATGTTGATAGAAAACTGGGGGAAGGAAGTCCAGCCAAACACAGGATAGAATCCACTCTCTGCTGGCTAAATGTGACCCTATACATAACCACACCTTGCCATTTATTTCTGCTTCCATTAGTAAAGTTCTGATGAGCTTCTATAATGAAAATGAAAATTATTGCCTTAATTATACTTTTGTCACTTAATATGCCTGGACACTTTTGTTTGCTTTTTATTGCAATCTTCTTCTATTAACATATTTTAGTGAAAAATTATCCTGATTTGTCATCAATGAGAATTAGATGCATTTTTTTCAATAACTATAGTGGGGGATTGTTTAACATTGCAAAAATGTAAATATTATAATAAAAAACTAAGCTATCTTCTAAAATTGTTTAGCTAGCTTTCAAAATAGCCATAACAAATGTAACTAATAACCAAATATTATTTATTATTCAGAACCATAAAAAGATGCAAACAATATTTACTATAGGGCTATACACTCCAGTTCTATAAAAAGATTAGCTTAAATAATTATCATTAAATATTCAAAATGAATTGCAACAAAATGCTATTTTGCCTCTTGTACTGCTGAATTAAATACCCAATTCTGCTGTTAAACAGCATTGATCTGTAAGAGTCTAAATGCCTGTTCTGTCACCTCAGCTCTCTTCGGGATGGTAGTCTTGGGGCCCCAACAGACAGGCAAATGAGACGAGTTTTCTTGATCAGGAAGCAGTTTATTTCCAAAGCCAGATATACATGTGCATAAGGGTGCCTCAGAGTTGAGGGACCCTTTGTTTTTGCAAAGCTGATCTTTTAATATAGTTAGTTTATGGTTAAAATAATATATGCATAATTAAGGATTATACAAGATACAATTCAACTTCTATATTGATTACATATTACACTTCTACTTGACATGTGCAAACTTAGTTGGCATCTTTTGTCCACTCCTTGGCCAACTGTTTGGGTCAACTTGACATCTTCCTCTTGATGTTTCCATCCCCTCTTCACAACTTCCTTGCTTTATTCTTGGTCCAAGACATCAGTTTCTGCCCATCAAATGCTTCCCTTACTAACTTTTGGTTTAAACCAGTCTCTTGGTCAAGCTGACCCTATATTCCAGGGGTAGGCAACCTTTTTGAGCTGGGTGCCAGGTTGCTGTCCCTCAGACAATTGGGGGGGGGGGGCGAAGCACCAAAAATAAATAAATAAATAAATAAATAAATAAATAAATAAATAAATGCACACTCTCTCAGCCCCAGAAAAGCCATGGCAAAACCCCTGTGGAGATTTTGCCAAGAAAACCCCAAGAACAAGTAATAACAATAATCAATATCATCATGACTGGCAGTGGCGGCAGGGGGTGGCAGCGGGCAGCAGGACCAGCCTGGGGCCGGTCCAAAGGCCTCGGAGGGGCCATATTCAGCCCCCGGGCCTTAGGTTGCCTACCCCTGCTAGATTCCATCCAAAACTCAAACAGCTCCTATCTTTCTACTTTGAAACTAGCAAACTAAGCAAATTATCTCTTGTTCAGACCTAGACTTTGAAGCTTCTGGCAACTACCTAGTTCCAAAAATTCAAGGTTGCCGTATTAGCTATTTTGAGCAAATCAAAGCTATCTGAGAAAGAGTCACACAGGTCCAGCCTATGCTTAGCCAATGGCTTCTTCAGACTCCATTTTAAATATCCCCTCTCACAGTTCTTCATACTTTCTTATGGTCTCCTGTCAGTTGTACATGTACGATTTGACATCATGGATATTGTCAAGCCTGGATAAATTTCAATCAGTCTGCAATCTCAGGGTCATATAATATCACAATGGAACAAGTATAAATACAAAAATATGCATATGTGCCTTTGTCACCTGTCAACGTATGGTGACCTCATGAATTTCACAGGATTTTCTTAAACCAGGAATACTTAAAGCATACCCTCCAACTTCCTCAATTTAGCAGTTCCAGTTAATCATCTATTATCCCACTTTTCAGTAGCTTTTAAAATGTCCCAGTTTCTCTATCCTCCTCCCTCTTTACCCCTTTGTTCTTCAATTGCTGCAAACTGAGGAGACTATCACTCCACACTCTTAAAATGGAGCTAGGTCATTTTAACTGTTCTGGTTGCCTCCTGATGCATTCTGAAACTTGTAATTTAGGAAGGGGCATTTAGAATATTCAGCCAGAGAGCCTTTAAGCCTCACTGAACTACAAACCCCAAAATGCAACAGGAGGCAGTCAGAGCTGTTAAAGCAACCTAGCCCCATTTTAAGAGAGTGGCACAATAAGCTTGTAAGTTCAAAGTGAAAAAAGTAGTTTGAACTGAACTACCTTAGCACAGGGGAGTTAAGGCATGGGTAAAATCTTGCCCTTCACAGTAGGCTCAGGCAAAAGCAAACTGCTACATCCCTTCCTAGCTCGTGTGTTCTTCCAGATTAATAACTTTTTTCATCTTGACTACACTATCATCTTACTTAGCCACATGTCCCAGTTTTCATCTGTGAAATGTTGGAGGTTATGCTTAGAGGTGGTTTTTGATTGCCTTTCACTGGAATATAGCTTACAGTTCCTGGTATTCCTTAGTGGTCTCTCTTCTAAGTGGTCTCCCACTAGACCTAGCCCTTCTTTGCTTCCAAGATCAGATACACTCTGAGGCCATCAGGGTATTTGGGCAAATACAAAGCAATTTTGTATAAACATATTTGTTTATTCAGTCTGATCCCATCCACATTTAGACAATACCCCAACGACTACCATCCATAAATAAATAAATAAATAATTCCGCTTCATTTGTATGCATTTGATTCATAAGCGGCGAAGGTCCTTGTACTCTTGAGGATGGGGAGCTCTGCTTATTGCACTCAGGCTTCCTAAGGCTTGTTTGCAGGTGAAGATTTTATTTGCTACAGTTCCCACTATGTGAAATGGTCTCCCCATCGAAATTAGATGGGCTCTCAGTGCCGGGTGTTTCTGCCATCCGCTGAAGGCCTGTCTGATTATCAGGCATTTTCCCATTCTTTTTCCTAACTGTTAACTGTATCAGTTAGCACTTGGTTTTTGGTGGATGGATATGGATCTTATTAATTTTTCCTGCTTTTATGGTTTTATCTTTTTATCCTTTTATCTATTTTTATTATATATGGTTTTAATGGGAACCACTTTGGGATTTTTAAAAATAGCAAGCAGTATATAAATGTTGGAAATAAATAATGCAGACCCACACACACGAAAATTCATTATGAACAGTTTAACATCATAACAAAAGCAGACAAAATGTAAAAGAATCTATTTTACTATGAGGTTTTGTTTCTGTCATATACTTAACACAGAAGTTCACAGAAGGTTTAGTACTTTTAAGAGTAGTGATCAGTTTGTGCTTCATATTATTACAAGTATTTTTTGTATATAATGGAAAATGTGTTGCTCTGTGCCTTGACTTATGGCAACCCTAAGGTGAACCCCTCATGGGGTTTTCTTGCCAAGATTTGTTCAGAGGCAGCTTGCCATGGCCTTTCTCTGAAGGTGAGAGAGTGTGACTTGCCCAATGCCACCTAGTGGGGTTCCATGGCCAAGTGGGGATTTGAACCCTGTTCTCCAGAGTCCTAGTCCAACATACAAACCACTGTGCAACGCTGGCTCACAACATGTCTCATTAAACTTTCCACCTTGCTGCTGTTGTTTTGTGAGGTTAATTTGCTAGTACACTAGCCTATACGAGGGGGCATTGTAAAGTTTTAATTATCACCTTTAAAAAATTTTGACAGAAATTTTGTTTTGATTTGTAGTTGTTAACTTAGCTCTACATAGTAACCATTCAGATTTACACATTTTCCCCAGCGTTTCTTGACCTTCTGAATACCGTTATTGTATAAGTCTGCAGATTGTGTCTTAAACCACTCTTCCACTTCATGATGTCATCTGTGCTGTCAAATCAGCAACCCTGCAATGGATTTTTCATTTCTGGGAAAAGAAAAAGTCATTTGGTGATGACAACACTGACAAAATTTCATCAATATACCACAATAACATCGGGGTGATAATTATTACTTTATGATACTCCCTTGTATGTTATTGTGCCAATATTTGATGGAGGGCATGAGATTTAATTTCTGGTATCTCACTATTTGTTTTGATACCCTCAGTTCTAATCTTCATGAATACTCAGTTTCAGTGTTGCTATCTAAATTTTATATTGATAAACTTTACAAGCATGTGTTTTCATATGGTGAACTCTGAGGAGTGGTGATGATGGCCTAGGATTTGATCACCATTTCTCTTCCTTCCTCTTCTCCTCTCTGTCTCTTTCTTGCATTCCAACAGCATTTGGTGGATCAAAATTAAAATGGGATTTTCTCATAACAGAAGGTTAATTCATGCTTCTGTTCACATTCACTTACCCTTAATTAAGAGTGAGATTTCTGTGGAGATTTTTAACTCAGGCGTGCATTTTGTTTTTCTGCTGGTTTAAATGTGATTCTGTTGGACATTCTTGAAATCTTGGCCCATTTCTTTGGCTACAGCTTACTTTGCAGGCAATGCCTGTGGATTTAAGAAAACCCTGTCTCAATGATTTGTTTTGCTTTTGCCACCATACTAGAATTAGCATTATAGTGGTGGGGTGGGAGAGACGATCTCCTTATGTTCTTCCTCAAAACATCTTATGGTTATTTTTGCTGTTTTCAAAACACATGACATGCTATCATTATATAATGATGTCAGTGTGCATTATGAAACTACCATCATACAACAGCTCACCCACTTTATTATGATAGGTTAAGACAGCACATTTGAAAGTACTGATACAGCAACAGTGGTATATCCACAGGGATCAGGACAAAGAAAAGACAACAGGACATAGGATGGAGAATTAAGAGTGAAACTTGATGGAAGTGTAGATTATGTGGAAAGTTTTTAAACCTGAAATAGGGAAAAATATCAAAACAGGTTTGATAGAGACATAGAACTCCAATCCCGTTGAATCCTACATTGATATATTGCATATGGAGATGGCTTGCATACTGAATATAATCACTCCTAAGTCCCTTTCCCACTGGGCTCATTGGTTATTTTCACTCCTTGGTTTATTATGGAACTTGAGATATCTAAATAGTTGCAATGAGGGCTAGAACACGGGTAGTTGAAAACTGAGTATTATAAGATACGGATAAGTAATGTATGCTGAGGTGTGTGATCTTGTTCATTCTTCTGGACTTGTTATTGGTGTTCAGTATTGTTTAATCCTGGTATCCTGCTGGACCAGCTAACTAGAAGTAGAAGTGGGCATGGGGTAGTAAAGCAATGGTACTGCTTCTATCTTGTTATTGGTTCAAGAAAGTGATGCAGGCTACCTCTTTCAGTAAGTTCTAAAACAGTTCTAAATCTGTATGCATAGACATAACCCTCAGTTATCGCACTGATGTGTATATCACCAGCACAATGTCAGTCAGAGAGAGTTTGGCTGAAATTATCCAAGTGTATATTCATCATTATTAATAGCCACTGACATACTTAACTTCCATGAATTTTCTTTTGAAGCCACCCAAGTTAGTAAGTATTACTGTATCTTGTACTGTAGTAGCAAATTTTAAACCATGTTCTGTGTGAAGATATACTTCTGCTTATCTATTTTAAATCTACCACCATTCAGCTTTGTTGGATGATCCCAAGTTCAAGCATTGTAAGAAAGGGTGAAAAAGAACCTTCCCATCAATTTTCTACACAGAATTTTATAGACTTCAATCATGAGTTACTGAATTATAAGAAGACCTCTCATTTCCCCCCATTATATGTTCAGTAAGTTGAATGATGAGGGAATTTGTCATTAGCCTTTTGAAGTCCAAGTATATAATGTCTACCAAACAATGCCTAATCACATATTATACCTTTGCTTGATTATTTCAAACAATTTACCTAGAAAAGACTTCATACAAACCAATATGCCATTGTCTGTTTTTAAAAACTGGAATTACACTGGCAACTTTTCTGTCCTAGTATAGAGATCAGATAACATGTTACATAATTTTGTTAGAAGATTAGTAAATTCACATTTGAATTAAATACTCTCAGATGGATACCATCTGGACACAGTTATTTGTTTATCATTTTTTTTCAATAAGGCTGAGAACTTCATCTTTTGTCAGTACAATTTCCCTAGAAATCTAAGAATCATTGTCAGCTCAGGCACTGATATTCACCCTATATTTCTTGCAGTGAAGACAAGCAGAAATACATTCAGTTTCTGTTATCATGGTTTTGAGTAAACCCCTTGTGTTCTGGAGGGATGTGATCCTCTTGACTTTCTCATTCACCTTTCTTTTTGCAAGTTCCCTCATTGTTTGAGATTATCTCCTTGGAAGTTAAAAATGGCTGTTTAAACTCCACAGTAATTTCCCACTTACATATAAATGGAATATGATAGCACTGTGGTTATTTCCCATTGATTCAACCGCAATTAGATTTGGCACAGTGTTAGATTCCACTGAGGAAGAAATACAGGGTCATTTAAGTTTTGGTCAGTTTCCTTACAAATTCTTCTAGTGCACAGTCATTTCAGAAATTGAAAATGTTCATCTCTTGGATTGGATAGGATTCAAAATACATTGATACAGACTATTTGAGAATTGTGGAAGCTACCTATTATTACAATCCTTTCTCCTTTACATACCTCTCTGATTCTATTCTACATCTCAAGAACATCTTGAACACTTTGTGAAGCAGGGAGTGTGATCACATGTCCCCAGGACAACATTATTTTTGGAGAATGGGACTGTGCTTCTCAAGAAGGAATCTTCTTTTTTTCCTAGTTCCTCTGACACTATAATTTCTTTGATGCACAGGGGTACCACACCTCCAGTACATGTTCCTGGTCTTCCTGTAAAATTTATCAAAAGATTACTACGCTCCATTGGTTTTCTCACTTCCATTAGGTTTTTGTTGTATCCACTACTGTGAATGTTAACTTTTACCATCAATCACAACTTCCCTACCTAGATGGCACTAGCAAACAAATACCAATACATATTATCCAGTTTCAAATACCAATATCTCCAAATTAGTCTGTGTACTATGTTATATTTTCTTATTTTATTATGTAAGTTGGTCCAAAAATCTTGGCTGAAGAACAGTTAATAAATTATTTAATCTTTTGCAATTGGAGTCATGAACTGATAGTAGTACACCAAACTCTGCTAGCTACTGCAACATTCCTTGTTTCCACTTGGCCAGCTATAAAGAGGACTATTGTCTGCTGCATTTTTTCTTGGACATACACTCATCACTGTTCTGATGTAACAACAAATGATCTGAGAATGCATGACATCTCTATGATATATAGGGACATTCATGAGGAATGAGAGACAAATATTCTTGCTTCTACAGGGGAAAGGAAACAAATAAAATATTCATTGTCATTATGGGGTATACAAATTTCAGAAGGCAGAACAGGCTGTGCATTCAGTCATTTTTACAATGTGTCAACACTGAAATAAAACTGTTTTGCCAAAAAAACATTCCCTAGTGAGATTCTACAGTGACTGCTAATCCACAGGATTGAAGCTGTTGCTTCAAGGGGAAAGCAACAAGCATTTGGTTTTCAAAAAATATAGGGTGTTTTGTGGTCCCTTGGCTACATGCAGTGTTTATCCTCATTTTGTACTAAAGCCACAAAGAGATTAAATTAAATCACCAAAAGGCCACTTGAACATAGGTTTTGTTTTGGAGCAATGCACTAATCTCCTTGCTGCTCGTGAATGTGAATCTGGAATAGTTAGCAGTTCATGGGAATAATTTCTCAAGGTTTAAATGTGCCTAGTCCAATGAGGCTATTGTCCAGTGCTATTAAGGAAAGAGAAAGAAAGGAAGCTATAACATAAATTCTTGCTACATAATTATACATTTAGTCATTGAAGTCTGTTTTATGACAACCAGGTTGCATTAAGGAAATGCAACTAATGCATTTTAATTGTCTGTCCAGGTGTTCAATGCCAAACATTCAGTACAAGTGACATTAAAGGTGCAACAAGTGAAAAGACTTCATTTTAGGGGGAAATGTCACTCTATTAACAACAGTAGTAGTTGTGTTAGCAGTACAGTCAGCCCTCTGTATCAGCAGGGGTTCAGTTTCCAAAAAATATGGGACATCAAGTCCCACTGGCATCAGTAGATGCCAATGTGTGCTTGGCTACATCAGTACAGCTACATGCACATGCTACCATTGACAATAATGGAACAGGGCCATCTGTAGATGCTCCAGTCCATGGATGGCTAGCCTGCCGATACGGAGGGCTGACTGCAGTACATTGCAAGCAGCTAGATAGATTAAAATACAGAGAATCAAAATTTGATGTATACCTACATACCATTATTTTGATGAAAGAAAGTATACAAGATGTATAATTTGTTATCAAGGATCTGTTTGTAGAATTCACAATTTCACTTTGGAAAGGTTTCAACTCTTGAAAGGCAATAAGATACACTGAATATCTGCAGGCATGAATTCTGTTTTGTTTGTTATCTGTGATGCCAGGTAATTGTCATTTGAGACATGACCGAGCCAAGGATTTCTATCTGTAACTTACCCTTGACATAAATGTGGAAGTCACTTTAGCTTAAAGATGTTCCTGGACCTCTTGAAAATATGTGTCATGATCCTAAAGAACAGAACTGCTTCCTAAGAGTGCTCTCTCGCTGTCTTCTGATGGAAGGGCGCTCTCATCAGGGAGAACCACAAGGCCCTGACTTCTAGTCAAATTGAGGAAAGAGACTGGAGAATGCCTCCTCTGCAAACTTACCCAAATCTTGGATGATCTTTTCAATGTAGACACATAGGCAACAAAATGGTGAATGAGGTCCAATGTAAGTTTAAAAGGATGCACTGTATTTAAAAAACAGTTCTGACTACAACTATACAAAGAAGGGGATCTGACAGCTTCATGCATACCTTCTAATTGTCTCAACTTGGCAGGGACAGTCCTGATTAAGCCTCCATCTTACCACTTTTAACTGCTTTTAAAAATGTTCCAGTTTGTCTCCTCTCTCCACTTTCCCCCTTTGTTCTCAGCTTAACCTGCTTTTTAATTGCTTCCAACTGAATTCAAAGTGCAAAAGCAACTTGCATTTCCCTAACTCAGTAGGGGGGAGAGGAAAGGACGAGGTAGGATCTTGCTTTTCTCAGTAGGCTCAGGCAAAACTAAACTGCTGCAGCCATTCCTCGCATTTGTCAATAATAACTATTGCCATCTTGACCACACTCTGTTGTTGCTTGGCCACATGTGTCCTGGTGTTTATCTGTGAAATATTGGTGGGTGTAGTTGACATAACTCAGTATTGCTAAGGCCTTGTGGGACTATGATGCTATTGTTAAAATACTGTTGGGAACCATACATTGAGTAGTTGTATAAATAAATCTTTAGTTTTATTAACCTAAACAACCATACTATGGAATAGGCCCTATTAAATAGCAGGACTTATTGTACTTCAAAGAAAATATACTAGATTCTGGTATACAGATGCATTCCTGTGAACAATTGCTACAGACTAATTTCAGAGTTACTTAATTTGTCCACAAAAATAAATAAAGATAATTAGATGTTGCTTCACTCTAAATATCTGTAAAGTGTGAAATATTTGTTGTTTTTGTTTTAACCAGACAGGTTACATTTCCATTTGCCTTCATGAAACAGGTTAAACTTCATTTAATTTTAACAGTACTTTGCATCTATCCCAAGAGATAGTTCAGTACATTATAAGTGCAGTTCATCAAACGCAGCTCTTGCACAAGTCTAACTAAGACAAATTGAGTATGCTTCTTAATGCTTGGATGATTGCCCAATATTTCAAACTCATCAAGACTCTTGGCATTGCAATGCTGATTACTAGGCATCAGCTATTTAATATTTATTTAATGTGGCTAAACTCTTTGGAAAATTTTGACATTCTGACCCAATAGGAGGCAGCTGCCAATGTAGCAACATGGGGGGGGGGGTTGCACACTGCCAGAAATAGTGCAAATTGAGTCCACTTTTAGGGTTAGGGTTAGTGCTAGGGAATCATGGGAATTTTTTTCTGAGACATTGAGTCTTCTCTGTCAGAGAGCTCTGGTGCTACAATAAAATACAGTTCCCATGATTCCCTAACCCTAAAAGTGGACTCAATTTGCACTATTTCTGGCAGTCTGCAAACCCCTCCCCCCCCGGTTGTGTTTTTCCTAGATGTATGGCACTTTCACTTCAAAGTTACTAGGAAGAGGAACACACACACACACACACACACACACAGAGGTTTTAAGTTAGAATGAATGAATCATGGCTCAAAAAATACTTATAAAAATCTGTTTAGTCAAGCATCACACATAACAGTCAAAGCTGCTAAAATTTTAATTTGCTGAAATATCTCTGGAATGTGTTCATGCCTATAATATAATATAATATAATATAATATAATATAATATAAATATTGTAGTATGTGCTAGATAGGCCTTATCTTTTAGTGGTATTTATTTATGTAAGTTTTAAATATGATGTTGTTTAATACCTTTTTAAGGGTGGGTGGGTTTTGGGATTGTATTTTATGGAAATTTTAATGTTGTAAGCTGCTCCGATTGCTCTGCAGAGGGGTGGGATATAAATTATTATTAGTAGTAGTAGTATTATATGGAGTTCAGCATTATCTGGGTACTTCAGTTTAGGAAGAATATAGGCAAGTTGGAGCAGTTTCAGAGAAAGGGAACAAGGATAATAAGAGGTATGGAGAAAAAAAGATATGAGGAAAGGTTGAGGGAGTTGGGCATGCTCAGCCTAGTGGACTAAGAGGTGACAGGATTGTACTCTTTTAAATATCTAAGGGGCTGTCACACAGAGAAGGGGGCAGGTTCAGTGTTCTAGAGGGTAGGATCAGATCTAATGGTTTTAAATTAGAGGAGAGTAGATTTTCTTTGATCATTAGAAGGAAATTCTTAGTGGTAAGAGTGGTTTGACAATGGAACTAATTACCTAAAGTGATGGTGGACTGCAGCCTGCTGGTGACACTCTACCTGGAGTTTCTGAATTGAGCAGGGGATTGAACTCAATGGCCTTTGCAATCTCTTCCAATTATATGGTTCTATGATTCTATATAAAGTTCAACAGCGGCAAAACAAAACAGAATTGAAAACAAACAAAAACAGAAAAACAACCCCCCCAAAAAGACCTTCACCACCCTTGATCTTAATTTTTAAATATGAAAAACAAAGCAATTTGAATTTTTGATGAAGTCAAAGCCAAGTCTTCAGTCATCTGTATCCACACCTGGGGGTGAACAATATTCTAACTCATTCATAGGGGCATTGCAGACCGGCCTAAAGGGCCAGCCTGAAGCTGGAGGTGGGGCGGGGCAGCCACATGTCGGCCCTCCCAACCCCACCCAATGCTGTCCTGATGCTGTGTGGCCATTTGCACAGTGCACAGCTTCAGGACGCCCTCCCAGCACAGCATGCAGACACACTGCACCGAAAGGGTGCGGAAGAGCCATGGCACCAGCTCTTAGGGCAACCTTTTGCCACTCTTCTAGGGGTGGAAAAGGAAGGATCGGGGCCGTGGTATGGGATTGCCACAGCCCCTATCCACTGCTAGCAGGGGCGGCCCAGAGCCACCCATCTGCATAGCCCCTTAGTTTCAGAGTCCTGGCTTTCTATGACCAGTCTTAGTACATGGTTGAATACTCAAGAAATTACTTCTGGGAACTTCTTCATGATGCTCTTTGTACCATGAAGCTGATGCTTAGAAATACAAACCACTGGTGAGACAATACCCACAATTTCCTAGTCATAAAGATAGTGCATGCATTGGCACTAGCTGTAAAGATCAGATTGCTTTTTTCACTGATTTATTTATATCTGCTGCTCTCTATTTGATATCAAAATTCCCAGTGCTGTATTTCATATAAATTGCTCATTGTCAAATGGCAAAGCCACAGGAACCCAGTGCTCCAACAGAGCACTCTCTATATGCATGGTTCAGCAAGCCAATTAGCATGATATTTTTATCTCTAACCTGATTTGGAACTAATTACAAACCAGTATTTTAACTGTGTGCTAAATACTCCAATCAAATAGTATTAGGCCATTACTTAACACAGATAAATAATTTCACATTCACATTTTTGATTTTCCATCTTGACTTTCAAGTTAGAAACTTCCTAACAAACAAAATAAAATAAAAATGAGCAATGTACAGGTGAGAGCCAGTGTGGTGCAGTGGTTTGAGCATTGGACTATGAATCTGGAAACTAGGGTTTGAGTCTCTGCTTGGCCATGGAAATCCACTGGGTGGCCTTGGTTAAGTCACATTCTCTCAGCCTCAGAGAAAGGCAGGAGCAAATGCCCTCTGAACATATCTTGCCAAGAAAATGCTGTGATAGGACTGGCTTAGGGGCACCATAAATAGAATTGATTGGAAGGCACACGATAACAAATACAGAGTCCTCAATCTCAACATACTGACCTATATTGTTGCTTCACAAATCTGTGTGGTTGCTGGTGAACTGATATACAATCATCATTTGTACTGCAATATACAGGGAGATATTCTAAAGGGACACTTTAAATTAAGCTAATGAAATAATCTCAGCTTGGCATTGGAACCTTGGTTAATGTGGTTTTCTATCATGTTTGTATGAATGAAAAAAAATTAAAGGTAATAAATTTAGCTTAAACATCAATAAAAATTATAACTGTAAAGTTACAAGAACAGTTGTGGGAACTGATCAGAACATAAGAGGTCTGCTGAATGAGGCCAAAGACCTGATTAGTCCACTATCCTACCACCCATTGCTAACCAGAAGTTTCTGTGAGGCCTATAAACAAGATACAAAGTATACAGTAGTAGTAGTAATAGTAGTTACTGTTGGTATTATTGCTACTATTATTTCTTTCCTGTCTTTCCCCATGGATCAAGAGGGGGAACAGAAACAAATAACTTCAGTTAAAAACACACAAACCAGTTAAAACACATATGATAACTTTAAAAGAACATATAAGAGTAATGCATATAAAATAATCAACCCATATTTTAAAATTCATAATTTAATATTCATAATTTAAAAATAATCTGGCTAGGTCTGCTGGAAGAGACTAGTCTTTAATGTTTTTTTTAATTCAGACAGTGTATTCAGTTGTCAAATCTCTTCCAACAGATCGTTCCATAATCTAGGGGCAGCTGAAGAATCATATATAATCATAGAGATGGAAGAGACCACAAGGAAGCATCCAATCCAATCCCAGACAGACAATCTGGCTAAAACTAGTATTCTTTCATGTAACTTTAAGAGCTATTTTTATAACTCTTCATTTAAGGATGCTTTTTATCAACAATACTTTTTTATATTATTTGATACATTTACACCCCACCTTTCCTCCAGTGTCTTCCTCTCTGCTCTAGCTTCACAGAATACTCATAAAGTAGGTTAAAATGAGAGACAATGAGTGGCCCAAGATCAGTCAATGAATGACAAAGGGTGTGGATGTGCAGCTGGGTCTCCCCAATTATAGGACAGTATCCATATGTGATGTAGTTATGGTTCCGGAGAACAGGGTTAAATCCTGGCTCAACTATGGAAATCCACTAGGTGACCCTGGGCAAGTCACACACTCTCAACCTCATAGAATGGCAATGGCAATGGCAAACTCCCTCTGAACTAACTTGCCAAGAAAACCCCATGATATTAGCCTTAGAGTCTCCATAAGTTGGCAATGACTTGAAGGCACACAACAACAACAATCCATACTGCTTGATGTCTGCCGACAGAATAGTGGAATCCAGAGAAAATATGAAAGTAGGGCTTTTCTCCGTTACTCACTGCAGTCCCAATAGGTATGCATCCCAAAAATTGGCTCAAGGAGACTGAGAAACCCCCCTCACCCTGCAAGCTCATGTTTTGGAACTAGCAGAGCCAGTTTTGAGGCAATGCAGAAAACTGCGGGGGGTGGGGGTGGGGGATTAAAGGGGAAGGAAATTTAATCACAGTGCCAACAGAAGGCTAGTGTTGGGCCCTAATGGGTAAAAGTCTAACTTGTATCACACATGCTTAGATTTAACCAGATTAAGGCCTCATTCCTACAGTTTCACTGAAAAGTCTCTGAAGCTCCCCTGCATGGCTCTTCTGTGCTTCGTAGCAAGCAGGCAGACTTGGAGAATTGCCTGGCTACATCTCAGTAGCCAGACATGAAATGATCACAGCAGTGCCGAGGCCCCTGAAGGATCCTGGTGGATCTCAGTGTTGATGCCATAATTGTGTATCTGGCTATGGGGGTGGGGGTAGCCAGATATTTCACCAACCCTGCCTGCAGAATATGGTGTGGCCATAAGGGGTGATTTCAGTAAGTAGTCGGTTGGGGCACGGAGGAAGGGAATACCACTACCACCACTACCATCACCACCCCTGTGCCATGAAAAAGAGCATCCACATGCATAAGGGACACTTATATGTGCGGATGTCCCTAATAGAATTCCAGCCCATTAGTGTTGCTATAGGTCTTCATCTGACAAAGGTCAATTACATCCTCACTCTTACTCTCTTTTCATAGATGTGATTACTTACAACCTCCACTGAGGAAAAACTGCACATCACTGTGTTCTCTGACAAGTGCTTCAAACAATTCCCTAAGGACAACCAGCTTCCCTTAAAAGAAATTAGAGGAATGACAGGTTGAAATGTGGTTAAGGCTAGTGAAAGATTACCTATCAACTAAAACAACTCTTTGCAGCTGCCCCAATTGGTCTCTACAAGAATTTCAAGCCACACATTTCCCCTGAACAGTGTAATTGTAGATAATTTTCTCTATGAGGTGACAAAGAACAGCTGTTATGGGTGGACATGAGCTAATAAGATCAAACAACAGCAGAACTGACATCTTGACCTTGCACCAAGGGGCTAAGTGATTTCAAACAGACATAAAATCATACATTAACAAGATGTTTCTTTCTATTTAAGCAATGGCATCTCTGTGGCTATGTTTTGTTTTATTTTTAAAACATCTTTATCATGCTTCTGAATGAGAATAAAAATTGAAAGCATGAAATATGTATGAGAACAGTTTATTTCCTGGATTGTTTCTGTTGTTATTAACAATTTATATAGGCTGCAATTCTGTGTATTGGGGTGATAATCAGGTGCCATTAATTCCCACTGAGACTAGCGTGACTTCTGCTTGAGGGCTTAAATACCCTAAAGACACCCGATCCTGTCTGATCATGGAAGCTAAGCCAGGTCAGCCCTAATTATCACTTGGATAGGAGACTGCTAACTAATACTATGTGCTATAGGCTATATTTCAAGTGGAAGGAACTGACCAAATCACCTCGAGTATTCCTGATGTGGACAAGCTCCTTGGTAGGGTGAGGAAAACAAC